TGTCCTTCAAGAAAAGGGACGAATGACCTTGAGGGTGATTCAGAGATATACAGGGCTGCCACTGCCACCAAGACACAGAGCACACAACCCAGGGGGCAAGGCTGTCTACCCCTTGATTTCACAGAATGAAGCCATTTCCACTTTAGTGAGCCATGCCACTCCTGCCCATGGCCTCAGAGGCAAAGCCATCAGTAATGGTGCCAGGAGCATGACCGCTCCACAGGGCCTGGAGGGCAGAGCACAGAGCCAAAGAAGTTTATTCTCTAGCCTTAAGATCTAATGGGACTTGAAAAAAAAAAAGATCTACTGGGATTTGGCTTACTAGGTTTTGGACTAGACTGGGACCCATCACCCGTTTCTTCTTTCTGATTTCTTAATGGGAATGCCAGTCCAACCAGTGTGTCTTGAAAGCACCTAACTGGTCATGTTTCACAGGCTCACAGCTGGGAAGGGATTGGCCTCCAAATGAATCATATCTCAAGTCTCACCTCTCTGATTTAGATAATACTTAAAGTTTGGACTTGAAGGTGATGCTAGAATGCAGCTGTTGAGATGAGGTGAATTTATTTTCAATGCAACAGGACATAAATTTTGGGGGGGCCAGAGAGCATAATATTATGTGTCCTTTCTCCCCAATGTGACTGTGTTTGAAGATAGGGCCTTTACAGAGGTAAATAAGGTTAAATATGGTCGAAGGGTGAGGCCCCAATCTAACAGAACTGATGTCCTTAAGAGAAAAGGAAGAGACACCAGGAATGAATGTACACAGACGAAAAGTCATGTAAGGACACAGAGAGAAGGCAGCCATCTGCGAGCCAAGAGAGGCCTCGCCAGAAACCAACCTTGCCAGCACCTTGATCTTGGTCTTCCAGCCTAAAGAACTGTGAGAAAATAATTTTCTGTTGTTTAAGCACCCAGTATTACATAACAGTAGTATTCTGTTATGGCAGCCCTAGCAAATTAATACGCCTCCTAATGAATCTCGATTTTCACTGCACAATTCAGTTTTCATACTGTCATCGTTTCTTCCCCCCCCNCCCCCCCCAAACAAAGGCCTAATCATATCAAATCCTCTTCAGGCTATTAATTGGTCACCAGTCTATTTCAGGGTTCCTCAGCCTCAGCAGTATTGACATTTTGGGCTGGATAACTCTGATATGAGGCCTGTCTTGTGCATTATAGGGTGTTTAGCAGCACTCCCAGCCTCAACTCACTAGATAACAGTTGTAACCCCACAACAAGTTGTGAAAACCAAAAAAAATCTCCAGACATTGTCAAATGTCCTGGGGTGGGAATGGGGGCTGCAAAAGCATCCTGGCTAAGAATAACCTCAATTGCTTATTATAATTTAAAAAATGAAGTAACCAATGTTGGATTATGTTTGTTATAATTTTTTTTTAATTAGGATAAAATATACATAAAACTTACCAATTTTACTGTTTTTGTTCATGCATCATTTTCTTATTTTCATTTAGTGGTCCACCTGAGTTTTCTTTTAGCTCACTGGGCATTTTTAAGACAGTTATTTTAAATTCTATGTCAGATAATTCAGAGACCTACTTTTTTTAGGGTTGGACTGTGGAGATCACTTCAACCATTCTACATGTACAGTTCAGTAGCATTAAGTACATTCACACTGTTGAGCAAACATTACCACAATCCATCTCCAGATCATATTTCATCTTGCAAAACTGAAACTCTGTACCCATTAAACACTAACTCCCAGTCCCAGCTTCCCCTCAGCCCCTGGCAATCACCATTCTACTTTCTCTCACCATGAATTAACCACTCTAAGTACTTCATATGAGTGAAATCACTCCATCTCTCTCCTTTCCTGACTAGCTGACTTCACTCAGCCTGTCTTCAAGGTTCATTCACGTCACAGCACCTCGCGTCAGAATGTTCTTCATTTTTTTTTTCCTTTTTGTCTTTTTTCTGACCGGTAACGGGATCACAACCCTCGGTGTCACGCCTGTACCGGGGACTGGCAACGGGA